TGTCAAGGAAGAAAGACGTGGCATGATTTCTCCTCTGCTTCCATAATCCCACTCTTCCCACTCTTCCCACTCTTCCATATCATCAAACTTCAGTGTCTTCAAATTGGGGAAGGCAACAACGGATGATGAAGATGTAGACAAAGACATTTCTATCCCCAAAAATTCAACTCCCACCTTTTTTACTTTCCACATCCAAGCCACCATGAGTGATTCTAGAGAAGGCAATTTCCCCAAAGGAGGAAAATGTTCCACGTGGCAGTCCATGATCAATATTTTCTTCAGGTTGGTCAATGGAGTTGTCCAACTTGGGCTAGGCCACACAATTGGATTTGTGTGGCCCACTATTTCTAATAAAAATAACAAAAATATAATCAGAAACAAATTTTAAAAAATAGAAATATAACTATAAAAGATTGGTTTTGTTTCCAAGATCTATGGATGAGGAGCAATAAAAATTACCTCACATTACATCTCACATTTTTATAAATTACAAAATAAATACTAAAAAAATAATTTAGAAATAATCTTTTTATATCACTTTTTAATTTAACTTATATGTTATTTAAATAATTAATTTTTTATTTATTTAAAATTTGTGATATTTAGTGCATTTACGTATTTAATGCATGTAAAACTTGTATAAAAAATTATACAAAATATTATCATTATATTACTACCCTAAATATTAAATTATTTAAAATATATATCTTAATTTAAATTTCTAAAATTATACACTAAATTTCACCTATAATATAGTGCACCTTATATTACAATATAGTAATTTTTTTAAAACAAAAAAGGAATACAAAAGGATCAATTTCAGCCTTCTTTTTTTTTTTTTTTTCTTCCTTTTGGTTGTTACCAATTTATGCCATTAAGTAATATGTTTAGTCCTGACACTTACCAAAAATTTTGAAAATGTTAATGAAAACAGTAAAGTCAAAGTGAAGTACCTTTTTCCCCTTCCACATCCATGTTAGCAATGCAAGAGACATGGGGCCTATAGTCCTCATTTAATAGATTTGAAGTCAATGCATCTGATGAATCATAAATACTCAATTGCTGCAGGGTAGTATTTCGGAGAATATAATTCGGCAACTTCTTTAGCTTCGGACAATCATCAATTGCCAAGGATGAAAGACATGGCATGATTTCTCCTTTGCTTCCAAAATCCCACTCTTCCCACTCTTCCCACTCTTGCATACGACTAAACCACAGTGTCTTCAAATTGGGGAAGGCAACAACGGATGATGAAGATGGAGACAAAGACATTTCTATCCCCAAAAATTCAACTCCCACCTTTTTTACTTTCCGCATACCATCCACCCTGAGTGATTTTAGAGAAGGCAATTTCCCCAAGGGAAATTCCAATGTTTCCAAACCTGAAGGCGGCTTTAAGGCTTCAAAAACAATACTTAGTGGTTTATTAGCTTGGCTCATCGGAAAAACATTGGGATCAGATATTAGAGTCAAATTAGTGATCCCCTTCTTATTCTGTAGTTGCGCTTTTTCTACTTCCCTCTGATCTCTGACACTTCCCAATCCTCCTATAATAAGAGTCCCACAAAGATGATTCAAGTTCCCCAAATCACTAAGTGCAGCTCCTTTATGAGTTACCACAAACACATTCAATGTTTTCAAACTAGTCAATTTCTCCAAACCTTTAGGCATGAATTCCAGAGCTGTCCTCTCATTCCGAAGATGCAACAAGTTGATAAGATTTCCCATTCTATGAGGAAGTCTTTTAAGTCTGTAACATCCACTAATGTCTAGTATAAGCAAATTATGCAAGTCACACACTGCCTCAGGCAATTCCTTTAACTTCTCATTTTTTGACAAGTCAAGATGCCTCAAATGTATCAATTTGCCTATTTGTTTTGGACACTTTTTAATTCTAGAATCTGAACATTTCAATATCCTGAGACATTTAAGCTTATCAAACAATTTCAATAATTCAATATGAGAAATAGGATTTCTTCCATTTGACTCAATAAGCAAAGTGTGCAAGTTTTCAGTGCAAGTCTGAATTGCAGTAGTCTCTTCTGTTTGCATCATCAAAAACAAATGACGAGTTTTGCCATTGGAACATTGAATGCTGCTACTACTTCCCATTGTCAAACATTCACCTCTAGTCAGAAACATAGCAAAATCATGCACCATGTCATGCATTTTGCACTTGATAATGCTACCATTTTTATCCATTTCAAAATCTTGAAATAAGAAGCGCATTGACAGGTCATTAAAGTTGTTTTCCCCTACCATCTCCATATCTTGAGTCCCCTTGAGAAAACCTTGTGCCATCCATAACTCGATTAACATTTTTTTCTCTATCACATAGTCTTTTGGAAAGATTGCACAATATGAGAAACACTGCTTCAAGTGTGGTGGTAAATCAAAATAACTAAACATTAAGGGGTGGAAAAGACCTTCCTCAGCCTCTCTAAGTTTCCACACTTCACTTTCTAACACAGTTTGCCATCCTATTATGTCTTTTTTCAAGCGCAGAAGGCCACCTAATGTCTTCAAAGCTAATGGCAAGCCTTTGCACTTGTTTGCAATTTTCCTACCAATTTCTTCCAAATTTCTACGATCATCACTAGACCTCCCAAAAAAGGCAATTTCACTAAACAATGACCAACCTTCTTCTTCAGATAACTGTCCTACTTCGAACAATTCGCAACCCATGACTCTTGCTACTCCCTCCTTACGCGTGGTCACTAAGATCTTGCTTCCTTGGGAACCATTACTCAACAACAAATGTTTCAGTTGATCCCACTTTCCATACTCTTCGGTCCACACATCATCTAGGACAAGTAGGAATTTCTTACCCTCGATTGAGGTTTTAAGGTATTGCAATACATCCTCCAGTTTGTCTAACCTTTCAATAGCATCCCTTAATTTCTCCTTTTCTGTAATAGCACCCCTCAATTTATCCATTTTTTCAACAACAAACTCAATGACATCCTTATCAGCATTACCAATCACAAATTTAAGAATATCTTTGGCAATCTTCATCTCATTGAAAGTATCAGAAACACACAACCATATTTTTGCATCAAAATGAGACTTTACTTCCTCATTATTAAAGGCTAGTCTAGCAAGGGTAGTCTTCCCAATCCCCCCAATGCCTACCAAGGAGATCATCTGAAGTTTTGATCCTATTTCTTCATTTCTACCCTTATTTAGCAACATATTTACTATCCTCTCCTTATCCTCAACCCTACCCATCACCTCTGCTACATCTATGAAAGAAGTGGTTTCATCACGTTTTGGTTTTTCACTATTTAATACCTTAAACCCATACCTTTCTCTCTCATTTGCAATAACATCCAACCTCTCATTCAACGCTTGTATCTTGTGTGCAGTTTTGAGAAGCAATTTCCCTCTATTAAAGCAATAGGAAGGAGAGGGGACGAAGGAACATACCTTCGGCTCCGGTTCAAGTTCTGACTTGAGAATTGCAGTCCTCCACTCATCCAATGCATTATCAATGTCATAAGAGACGCCCTTGAGCTTGTCCAACCAATCTCGAACGTTGACCTTCCCCTTTTCCAATTGCTGCCGCTCTGCATCCTCCAGAATAGCTTTGATGGCTCGAAAATTGCTTCTAAGTTTGTCCACCTCTCTACGAACATTGATAACCAGTCTAACCTCTTTTTCTATTTCATCTAGAGCAATTGAAGTCAATTTTTCCAGCACAGCCGAAACAATTGCATCAGCTGCCATGATAGAGATGAAGAATGCAAAAAGACACAACTGTGTATGCTTAATTGTTGGGTGGAGTTAAAATGGCTTCGGAGAGGATGATCTTTCTCCACTTTTATAGTGAAACAGTAACTATTGATCTTTTTATTTTTATTTTATTTTTAAAAAGGGATAGTGATGTTTTAGCTTTTGCTTTCTCCTTCTAACTCTTCCTTTTGTAATTCATGCATACGAAATATATTCTTCCTTTGCGTAATTCATACTTAAGAAATATATTCTTCCTTTAGTTTATTTGTATGGTCACATCTGCATTCATTCGGAAGTTCTATTAGGTATTTTTTATTTTTCTAATTAGAGAAAGGCAATAAAGCAATATATTGATCTTTTTATTTTTATTTTTATTTTAAAAAAGGGATACGTGATGTTTTAGCTTTTGCTTTCTCCTTCTAATTCTTCCTTTTGTGGTTCATACTTTAGAAATATATTCTTCCTTTCGTAATTCATACTTAAGAAATATATTCTTCCTTTCGTAATTCATACTTAAGAAATATATTCTTCCTTT